TTTGAATTTTAAAAATGGTTTTTGAATTTTTAAAATGGTTTTTGAATTTTTGAATAGATTTTTGAATTATTAAACTGGTTTTTGAATTTTTAAATTGGTTTTTGAATTTTTAAAATGGTTTTTATATTTTTAAAATTGATTTTTGAATTTTTAAAATGGTTTTTTGAGTTTTTGAATTTTTTTTTGAATTTTTGAGATTGTTTTTGAATTTTTAAAAATGATTTTTGAACTTTTGAAATGGTTTTTAAATTTTTGAGATGGTTTATGAATTTTTAAAATTGATTTAAAGATCATGAAATTCCTAAATTGGTTTAAATAGTTAAAATCTCGTACATCAGCTCTCCAAAGCCTTCCTCATTCCAATCCACCCTCAATCAACCTCAATCCCATTCCAAACTCAATCAATCAACTGAAAATTCATATCATATCAATTCCACACATATTGTTAATCAGTAAAATAGAAATAAAAATAGAAAACCAATATAAATAACAAAATACAGAACATAAATGTACGAAGTTATTGAACTTTAAGTTTATCGTAATCTAATATACAGAAAAAAAAAGTTGTTGTTGTTTTTGTTAATTTTTATTTGCTTGCAATTCTTCTCATGTTTCAGACATTCTTTTATTTCTATTGAGTTTATTACTGTGTCGGTTTTGATAAAGTCATGAGGAATTCGAACTCGATATTTTTATGGAGTTCGTCGAGACGAGCGATGAGTCAAGTTGCAGAAAGTTTTAAAGTACAATTTTAGGGGTCTAGCGTGTACAAAAGGCTGCTTTGAATTTAATTGCTTATTTTTTAAGAATTGAAATTTAAGAAATTTAAAAAATGTCACCTAAAACCCCTCAAAATCCATCAATTTCTGTCATAAAACTTTAAATATCTTCTAGCTCATACTCAATTGTTTCTAGTGTCAATCATCGACCTCGTCTCACTCATTTTAATATTTTTCATCTCATTCAACATTTATTATTATCGCAATGATGATGAATATAAATTTTTATATATTTTTAAATTATGATTTTTCATATTTAAAAGAATCTCAGTTTTTTTGCTATTTTGTAGGTTAATAGCTCAGTCGCGAGCTTGAATATGAGTGATTATTACTTTGTATGGTGAATTTGAGATGGTTTTAGATCAATTTTGAATGATAATGTCAAGGATTAAGCAAAAATTAAATCAAAGGATGTGGATTTCGTGGTTCAGCATTGGAATTAGGGTGGTATGAGTTGGTTTGAACTGTCTCTGATTACTTTTAAGCACTAAAGACACCCTAGGACAGCTCTTAACTTCTTGAACATATTCTGAATCTGTTGGACACCATCAAAGCTCGTGTAAACACCTTCTTGTATCCCCAAGAATGACCATACACTCTCTTACTTACTTAGACACCTTTTGACACCCTTTGATACCCTTAAAAAGCCATAGACCGCTTTAAATGCCCTTAGCCACCCTTAGACGCCCTTATACACTCTTACACATCCTTACAAACCCTTAAGCACTCTTTGATACCTTTAGACCCCTCTAAACAACCTTAGACACCTTTCGACCCCCCTAAACAACCTAAGACACCCTTAGACTTCCTCAGACACTCTTAGACATCCTTACACTCCCTTGGACACCCTTAGACTCTCTTAGACACCCTTAGACTCCCTTAGACTCCCTTAAAAACTCTTATGTATCCTAATAATCTCCTGGAAACTCTCAGAATCCCTTAAAACAACTTCAAAATCCCCATTGACACCCTCTAAACTCTTCTAAACCCATTCTTCTCTACACAGTCCATCAAATAAATCACAAAATCTCCTCAATGTCCTCATCAAGTCTCCCCACACCCAGCCAACAACCACATTACTCATATTCACCTCAATTCCAATATTTATAATAAAAATTATCATAATAATCATCAGCATTCACATTCGCATTAGTCAATTGAACAATATTTTATTAATAATAATAAAAAATTACATAAAGTTAAATAAAAAGAATTAAACTCGATGACATTGAGCTGCAATATGAGTATGAGACATACAAACATATAAATTAAATAAATTTCAATATAAAAAATCCGAGTTCAGCAATAAAAAAAAGAAGGGATTGTGCAGTGCGAGGTTTCCTAAGAATTGAAAGCTTTACTGACGGTTCAAGGTAGTTCAAATAGAAAAAAAAAATAGAAGCTCGATATAAAAAATTATGATTATGATTATTATTTCTGCATGTTCACTCGTCGTGGATGCAAACGACACTAAGAAATAATTTTTATTTTTGCTCAACTCGAGAGACTTCAACGAATGTTGTTGCTGTACTCATTGCACAGTTATTGTGCTGCACACATGCACGAATGTAAAAACAAGTATGGCTGTGATGTGTTTGGCTGTAGTTGTAAAGAAAAAGTTTTTCCCTTAATTGACTTTTAGCGCCATCTCGGTGAGAATTTCCACAATTTTTTTTTATTTAATTTTTCTAGGTTTTATTGGCTTTTATGAGCTTTTACTTTTCTGTTGCTGCTTTTCTTCTATTTTACGCTATCGTTTTTTGTTGCTCATTTTTATTTGTTTTCTATTTGGCAGCTGCTTGTTATGGGGATAGAAATGGTAAGTGTCTTGATTAAGCTACTCGAGTAATTTTGTTGATAGTCTTGCTGAACTAAAGCTTAAGCTTCAAAATTAATAAAATATTAATTTAATTTTTTAAGCTAGTGTTAAGGCACCTGAATTTTTGTAAGCTACTGTGAATGCGCCTGAATTAATCAAAATTAATGCAAAGACACCTGAATTTTTTGAAGCTAATGTGAATGCACCTGAATTTATAGAAGTTAATGCAAAGACACCTGAATTTTTGAAGCTAATGTGAATGCACCAGATCTTATAGAAGTTAATGCAAAGACACCAGATTTTTTGAAGCTAGTGTGAAGGCACCTGATTTTTTTGAAGCTAGTGTGAGGACACCTGATTTTTGGAAGCTAGTGTGAAAGCACCTGCATGTTGTTCGAGCACCTGAACATTTTAGAGCTAGTATGAAGGCATTTGACGTTACTAAAGCTAGTGTGAAGGCACCTGAACTTTATTGAAGCTAGTGTGAAGGCACCTGAACTTTATTGAATCTAGTGTAAAGGCACCTGAACGTTTTGAAGTTAGTGTTAAACCCCAGAATTTTTTAAAAGCTAGTTTTAATTTGTCAAGATTAAATGAAACTCTTCTGGTGCTCTTGAGGCCGAAACTAAATTCATGCTTTCTTCTCAAATTTTCAAAGCTTGCAACCTGAAACTTTAAACAGAAAATAAATTGCCAAGCTTTGAAAGCAATGCTTCGACTAGAAAGATCCAAAACATAAACATTTTACTTTACAACCGATCAACAATCGCCTTTTAAAGTCCAACATCACCCCACTCTGTGCCTTAACTACACAAAAAAAAATACTTCTTGTTATTATATTTTAGTTTCCAATCGAGTCGACTTTGGTACAATGACCCGCATTAGTTGCGCGGCAATAATAGAAAAGTAATTGAAAAGAAGTGAAGGCACATAAAGGAAAGGAAAAGAGTCATAGACATGCATTAAATTGAGTACATACAGCGACATCGACCAGAGTTGAGGCTACGCACAAACATAATCAAACACGCGTTGTAGTGTCTTTGCCCTGCTGGCATGGTACATTAACCTTTATTTCTTTCCAACTATCTCCATCTCACTCTCGCGTGCTTACTTCTTTTACATCCAGAAATGGAATTTTCGCGTTTCTTTCATTCTCGATCATTTCTTTCATTTCGTCACTAACACAACGAGATCTTGTGTGTGTGTATTGGTGAAGCACATACGAGCTTCTTTTCTTTTCCTCGTTTGTTCTGTTTTCGAGGTCAATGTCTCGGCAAAATGTGCCTGCTTTGCTTTTTTTTCTTATTTTAAAAAAAATTCTATTTTACATTATTTTTTTTTGTTGTCTTCTTTTTTGCTGACAATTTCACAAGCGAATGGAGAAGGCAAGCACAAGAAGAAGGCAAATTGTTCATGAAAATTTCATTTATTTTTCGTTTGTGGGATTAATGAGGTTGAATTTTGATGAAATGGGTTGTGGATTTTTTTTTTGTTGAGAATTTATTTGTTTTTTAAATTAGAATTTTAGAAATTTTTATTTTTTGCGTTGTTTTGATTTTATTTGTTGGAATTAATGTGTGGATTAAATTATTTTGGTTGTTTTTAGGTTTTTTTTAACCTTAATGCGCCGAAATTGAAGTTCCTGGAGGTTCCACAAGGTTGAAGCTCTCGATTGTGATTGAAATTTGCATTATTTAAAGACTAGGAACTAGGATGAACCTTAGCTAAGCTGTTCTATGTTCAAATAAGATTAACAAAGCACAATGGCGTAGCCACAACTCAAATAAAACGCACATCCTTTGCAATTCACATCAGATTAGATCCAAAATGTCAAACGAGGATCATCAAAAAATTCAAGAACTCAAAAATCATTCTCATTGATATTCCCAAATAAAAATCTATTAAAAGAACAAGTTTTGTGCGTGACTTTTTGTGCAGATTATTTTTGGATAAGATTGTGGAAATTCCTGATTTTTAAATTAAGACAGGAACCACTCATTTAAGTTTGGGATATCTTCGATGATGTTGAAATGATTTTTTTGTGAATAATTGGAATTTTGGGAATTTTTGTGATTTTTCAAATGTAAGTTTTTGAGTAAGGGTGATAATAAGTGCTTACAGAATTGACTAAGTTACATTGAAGCTCAATAATTCATCGGCATGCCCAATACCACGAAAATTCATCAATTTTCCTTCGTTACTTCTTAGTTTTCAATCATTTAGCATAAAAATCTTCCCAAAAAATCCCATAAAAACTCATCAACCTTTTCATCTTGCTTCCCACAAGTTCCATAATCACCCCCAAACCCACAACAATCCCTCCATTACCTTTCTTAATTAAAAAATAATTAAAACTTCAATAAGAAATGTCAAAAAAAAGGCAGTAATTAGAAAAGAATGTGTCAAAGTTCACTCACCTTGCAGCCCTCGCACGAATGCACGCCGTAATGAAAGCCGGAAGCTTTATCGCCGCATACACGACATAAGACATTTGTACCGTCGAATTCTGGAATGAAAAAAAAAACGAAAATTATGAAAAAAAAAGAAATATTTAAATGATAAAAAAAATGTAATTTAAAAAAAAGTCACTTTGTGGAGTTAATGGAAGGAATGAAGAAGAAATTGAAGTTCTGGTTGGTTGAGTGTATTTTTTTGGAGATTAAGTTGGTTGTTTTAATGGAACTGAGACTTGGTTTTTCGAAGGTATGACATGTTTTTGAGGATTTGTAGCTTCAGTTGGATCAAAGATTGTGTTGATTGTTGTTAAGAGAAAGGGCATTGGTGAGGGAAGGAAGGGGTGGGGGGGCTTACAACTCAACATTTGAATCATTGCTGAAAACTGAAAACAAAAACATTCATATCTGCTAGTTGGCTGTCTGGTTCATTAAGGAGCTGAATCATCGAGAAGGAAGAGTAAGTCAGCTTTTAGGTGTATCCAAAGAGCCCCAAACGAAAAATACTTCTGATTTTGATTGTTATTTTTGAATGACGTTTTACAGTTCAACAGAAAATTAACACTTTTGCTTAATTGTCCCACAAACGTTTTTACAACAAACAACTGACTCATTCGTATCAAAAATCCAATCATAAGATAAATAAAAATTCAATTTCATTCCTCAAACTTTTAAGAATACAAATCCAAACTCAATCAATCCAAAAATCCATCCAATTTAAATCGCCTCACAACCAAACTTAATTACTTAGTAATTCGAGATCAACTCAGCAAAAAAAATTTAATAAATTTTAATGTGATTTTTTTATGAAGCTTATAATTAAATTAATGACATAATTCGCCATGAAGCTGCCTCAATTTACAAATATCGAGTTTTTCTCTTCCTCAAGTCTGAATTCTATTTTCTCACCTTTTCGAAAAAAAAAAATACAAAATTTCGCGATTTTTTCCCGAATCAAAAAATATTTCAAATGTGTGCGAAAAAAAAAGATTTTTTTTTTTTGACAATTTCAAGGACACAATTCGTGTCTGTTTGAGCTATAAACTCAAGAGGTTTTCGTACGTTCTCAGACATTTTTTTTCATTCGTCACCAACACATCTGGAACTGTTATTTAATAATAATAATGTGAGAGGGTTCCAGCCTGGCGGTGTGTTACTACACGTTGCGATGAGCTTTGTTGTTATTTAATAATTGATATTTTTGTGTGTCTCGAAAGAATTTTTTAGCGCGCAATTTTTATTTTTGAATTTTTTTTTTTATAATATTTTTTACGGACGTCCGAAAAGCTGGAATCATTAATTTTTGCCTCGAATTTGATATTTTTGTAGGATTTTAGACGAGACTTTTTGTTGACTTTAAGAAATTCTATTTGTGTGCTGTCGATGGAATTCGGAATTTATTAAAGGCTTTTCTGATGGTGAGTCATGTGAAGGGATGAGTAAGGATGTGGAATTTATATGACACTTGATTATTATGAATGATCAAACTTGGACATTATTAATTATTATCAAAAGCTAGTTTAGAATGTTTTGACAAAGATCAATCCTAATAATCTGACCCAAAAAGCACAATTATATTCGAATAGATATCCCGTGGTGACCAGACGCGATACTGGCATCGTGTTGGATTTGAATCAAAGCTAGCATCATGCCAGGGTCACACAGGCTTGGAGCTGGATTTCTGATAGATTTTTCTGATAGATTGAGACTTAAACAATACAAAAACATGGGCTTTTTCACGGCATACTTAGTAATACTTGAGACTTAAACTAATTAGACAGTTCCCAATAGCTTGCCCTCCCTTTTTTGACTGCACGGACTAAAATTTGATGATTTTTACTCAAAAATGACAAGTTTCAACGCAGATTGAGCTGAGTTTATTAAAATTTGACTGAATTCTATCCAAATTCATTAGAATCTCACTAGTTTCAAACATATGATCAGAGATTCATGTAAGTTGACCCAAATTTAATAACTTTCAGTGATATTCAGCACTCTTGAGCAAGATTTGATTGATTCGAGAGAGATTAAATAAGTTCAACAAGATTCACAGCTCCTGACAGTTAATAGTGGTCAAATTTACTCAAGTAAAGCTAAGCTCATCGAGATTGGACCCATTTAACAATGATTATAACAATTTTATCCTAAAACGACAGAATCTAAGCCATTTGGTAAGCATTAATCCTCATAAAATAAACCAAAATTTCTCTGAACAATAGAAATCAATCCCAAGCAAAGCTAAACAAAATAAAAACGTCAAAATCAATTTTCCATTTGAATAAATCTGCATCAAATCTGCATCCATTAACCAATCCACTTTCCACCTTCTATTTTCACTTCAAAAGCCATCTTTTTCTTTCCTTTCCAATTTCCATCTTTTTGCCAACTTTCAGCCGCACGCAATGCCTCATTTCAATTAAATATCCAACAGCACCATCGCGAAAAAGTAAAAACAAATTTAATTAATCTGTTAAACAAGCATCAAGCCAGCCAGCAGTACAGCGTTGTAAGAAAGTGAATTCGATTTCATCATATCGAAATGAAAAGTGAAACAAAAGAAATTTTTCAAGTCGGTCGTTGGAGAGAAAAAAAAAACTTTCACCTAAAAAAAAGAAGCAGTTTCACTTTAAAATAAAACTGCGTCTAGCTTTGCCTGTGCACGATGATCGCATTGGAGAAATTTCACTCTCGATATCACAAAACAGTAATAAATTGAGCACATTGACCTGACCGAGATTGTTCGATGTTTGCTGCTGTTGGATGTCATAATGACATTTACAGGCTGTGAGCGTGTGCAAGACAGACCTTTTATGCAGAAATGCGCTGAACTGGTTGGGAAATTATTTTTTGTGCTGTTTATTGGATGAAAAATGATAAGCAATGAAGTGTGGAGACACGAGATGAGAAATGAGATGGAAAGTTGATGATGCAGGAGATTAATGGGATGTGATTTAAGGTTGCATGCACGTGGGATTGATTTGGTGAAAAAGGAAATGTTCGGATTGTAGGATGTGATTGTGATTGGGATCTTGTGAATTTTGAGGGGGGTTTGATCTAATTTTGTGGATCATGCTGGTGGACTTGGCTTGGGTTTTACTGGTTCTGAGTATTTTTAAGTCTTCCTTTAAAGTTTTGATTAATTTCAAGCATATTTTTTTCAAAAAGTCATAGATTTTGAGCAATGTTGACTTCAAGGGGACAACAACATGGTGGGACTGAATGAATTTTCCATAAAAGTTTGAAATTGTCTTTCATTTTCCTTTGTAATGGTCAAACTAACGCGAGTTTAAGTAATTTTTAAGAATATTCTATAAAAACCTAATCCCATCATGTTGTTATCCCCTTTGCTGATCCCCAAAATCCCATCAAAACATCCTCAAATCCTCAATATCATCAAACTCCAACATCAAATCCAAACAAAAACCCCACAGAAAAGAAAGCAAACAATTTATTTATTATTTTAAATTCCAATTTTTTCTTGGAAACTATCCATAATAATAGTAATATAAAATACACAACACAGCACTCAGGTCATCAACCTATCAGCTCAACAAACATATTTTCTCTTCAAGAAAATGAAGACTTAATGATGGTGTTAAAGAAAGTGAAAAGAAAAGTTGCGCCAGCTTTAGTAAAAGTGCATTGAAAGTGAAAGAAATTTTTGGTTTTTGATGATGATGAAGAAGTTTGGCATTTTGGAGAAATGAAGAAGGTATTTGTGGATTGGTTGGAGATGTAGAAGCTGAATTGAAGGGTTTTGAGGAGAATGGAAGAGTCTTGAATATTGAAGGCTTAGATTTGAAGACTATGAGCTGAGAATTAGTGAGTGTATGATGAATTGAGAGCCACTGACTATGTTGGAGGTGAAATGAGCTCGTGTGGAAAATTGAAAAGCTGAAGGCTTGTTCTGACAAGAATTGAGCACTAGGAACCAAAAATGGAGACGTTGGTGCTAAGAATTAAGCATATTGTGGTCTACACATCCAAATATTCTTTCAGGAACTCTGCAATAAGAAATTATCATCAAATTGACCTAACCTGAGACCCAGCCATTGATCTAGTTAATATTAACCAAATTCAAGGCACCAGACAACTTAAGACAGAGCAGTAAGAGCCAATTATGAAGACACAACATCAAAGATTGATCAACAAAGTCAAGAAACTGAAGAATGTGAGTTCAGTGTCTTATTTAAAGCATAAAATGAAGTGACATCAATGTTACTTATTTCTAATATCAGTGCTTTAGATAGTTTAACAATCAAGGAACTGCTTGATCATAGTGAAAACCCTACTTTCATCTTTTTAACCAACTTCAAACAATTCTCCCTTAAAAATCTAATTTTTCATCTCATCCCAAAGTTCAATTGATTCACAATAATAATAATAATCCTTTATTTAATTAATGATATACGTCGGAACAAACTGAATTTATCTTGATGTTAACCTCGTCGGTTTTAAATCAAATGTAAAAATGAAATGTGATTATTGATATGACATGAGTTAAGTTTGAACTATTGAGATGCGGTCAAAAAAAAATTAGCAAAAAGACCAAAAAAAAAATATAATAATAAAAAACTTAATTAAATACAAAAAAAATGATTCACAAACCAAACATAAGTTATGTCTCAAGACACATCAAGTATGAAACTCAATCCGACATCAAGCCATCCCACACACCATCAAAATACTCAACAACAAGACACGAAAAAAAAAAATCTTATCATCCTCGAAAATTCAAGTTCAAGATCCACATTATCATCACAGAAAGAATCTCAATGCCAAATCTTTGTGGGTTTTGCGATTTTTTTTTTTAAAAATCCTTCAAAAAATTTAAACTCGTCTACATCTGTTTGATATTTTTTTGCGAAAAATAATCTGAAAATAATCTTTGATGATCTACTTTTTTTGCCTCACGAATAGCCACGCAAGTCTAATATGAGATCTTAGTGTGTCAAGTTCCCAAAAAAAAATCTTCTTTTTCACACGCACAATTCCAAAAAAAAAAAAATTTTGTGAGTCAGAAGATAGCAAAAAAAAATATTGAGAGAAATGAGCAAAAAAAAAGTGAAAGAACCGACGAAAAAATTTTTTTTAAGTAAAAGTGCGTGCGGAGGAGAAATTGAAATTGAAAATCGAAACGAAAGAGAAAAGCCGCGCATTTTTTAAGACTCATTGAGTCGGTTGACTGATGATGTATTGATTATGAAGTCGAGGTTGTCTGTGTATTTCATTTTTCAATAACAACATGAAATAAAAAATATGTTAAAAATAGTAAAAGTTAAAAGAAAGTAAAATTGAGAGCATTGAGCGATTAGAAAACATTAACAAATACACGCATGGGTGAGATAATAGAGACAGTGAGCAACATGACGCATTTTTTATTATTATTATATTGATGTGTGTATGTTGTGAATAAGAAGAAAATGAACCAAGGTCGTTGAACTTTTGAGTTTTTTTTATGTTTTTATTTTTTTTCTCAGTCGATTTTTATGTTTTTTATTTGTTTCTAATTTTTTTGTCTGGTGTTTTTGTGTTTTCTCTGTTTTGATGGCGGCTTTGTTGATGTTTTGGTTTGTTTGAGCATCAATATTATGGTTGAGATATCAACTTTCGATTTCTTAAATTAAAAATTGTAAAATTATGTCTCAAACATTCAATTTTCTTAAACATTTTTGCTTAAAATCTCATCAAAATACAAAAAAATTTCAAAAAAGTAATACATTAAATCAAAAAAATGATGGCTCCGAACAAGGCTCGAACTCACGACCTCTACGTCGGAAGTCCAAGTTCCAACCACTTTGCCACCAAGGCATTTTTTTGGGAAAAATCAATTTTGACAATTGCTTAATTTAAATAATTTGCATTCGAATTTTGTTCAGATTTAGTTTATTTCATAAGTTTTCATTGACATAACATTTTATGTCTTGAACTTACTGTAGGTTGCTTACTGTAGGGACCAAGCTGGACCTAAACATCAACTTTATCTCTTAAACAGCAACCTCAAGGACTCACACTAAGCATTTCAATAACAACTTTAATCACCTCACATATCAAACAACAATTCCCATTGAAAAACAATTTCCAATCACATCAACTGACCTTCCTCATTCCTGAAAAAAAATCCACCCGTCCACACACGCGCATCCAATTAACAAACCTTGGTTATTATCACCGCATCCATCAAAGTCCTTTTTTTTCCACTTCCCCATACCCAAAATAACCTTCAAAGCGTCCGTCATACTCATTTAATTTTCCATTACATCAAGTCAATCGTCCGATAAGCAAGTCAATGGCATTGATATTATGTCCATTATAAATGTTAAGTGACTTTTTGACCTCTTTCGTGTCAATTTGAACTTCAATCACCCACAATTATAGAACTTTTTATTTAACTTCTTATTTTCCTTTTTTGGTATCGGTGGGGCTGAGTGGATGTGTGTGAGTGTATTTGTGACGCATTGTGAATGTGTGCGTGAGAAATTATTTAATCGATAAATGATTCATAAATGACCCCTTATCACGCTCTATATATAATTCATGTGAATTCATCTACACAAATTTGAATGATTTTTTTTTCTTTTTATTCTGAATTACGAAGTGAAATGAAAATTGAGAGAAATGCAGTAGTTCAGTGTATGAGATTCGTAAGGGGCATTGATGTAGATTTTTTGTTGAAGGGAACAATTTTGTGTATATGTGTAATTAATGAATTAGGGATAGTTTTGTGTATATTTAGAATTCTATGTTGAATGTGAATGAATGACGGAACGCATTGTTTGATTTGAATCGGCGGATATTGTAATTGTTGAAGTTTCTACTGACCCAGACAATAAGAGTTTTGTGAGAATTATTTTTTGAGGAATTGGAAGTGAAAATTGGGCGAAGTTTGATAAAATTTCATTGATTTACAATTTTAAGAGGGCGGCTTTTTTAAGGGCTTTTACAACTTAATCATGGCTTAACATTTGGTTTTTGTCTTTTTACAGACAGATTTTTTCCTCAACGGACGATTGCGTGTTTGCAACTCTTGTTTGCAACACACAATTAAATTGACACAGGGTTTATCAATGCAAAGTTCCTAGCCACAGTTTGCACGTCTCTAATCATACAAACCGAGTTTCCATGACTTGAACAGCAAAAAAAGCACCCAAAACTAATTAGACATTATCTAGGATCGAACCTGGGTCGTTAGAGTTGATTGGCGAACACTCTAAATACTACGCCACTTCTGCTTTTTCACTGTTACTTGAAATTACCATTTCAAGCAACAAAACACTAAAATCTAGTAAAAAAGAAACAATTTACATCAAAAAAGAATTAGTCCGCGGTCAGGATTTGAACTCACAACCTCTAGATTGAAAGCTCATTCTTGAACCATTCTGCCACCGCAGCAATTTCGAGGAAAAAGTACTTTTGACAATTTGTGGTCTTAAATCTTTCAAATTCTTAGTTCTTAGTCAATAAATATACAACAAAATCATAAAATGATTTAGAATTGATTGATTCATCTTGACTTAGACCAAGTTTCACCACTTCCTGACAACTTACTCCCGCGTGCTTCACTGACACTTGACTTAATATCCAAAGAAGTAGGTATATACAATTCTAGTTGTAAAAAACATTGTACTAAAGTATTTGTCATTGAATTTAGCACTATATGACGATCAAACGCTAGTTGAAGCCACTTTGAGTCACCCCAGCGACATTAAACCTAGCAACTAAAATTGAGAAATGTTCTTCAAAACTGATAATCAGTCCCAAACTTACATAACACCAGATACTCCTCAAAAATACTCAGTTTCTATTTTAATCCTCAATCTACAAATAAACTCCGAATTTAAAATCCAGAACTTAAAAAAATTATCTGTCTTAAAATTACGGCAAAAAAAAAGTTTCTCGACAAAAAAAATTCACTTCAACAAATTTAACATCAAAAATAAAACTGCATTCATTTAGTATTCTGCATTCTCTCTTATTTCCACTATGTACATGTATTCTTATTATTTTTCTTCTGTTAAACTTGAATTTCAAGGAAATTTCATTGACATTGACATCGAAAAAGAAAGAATAAAGCGAACAAGAACGAGAAAAAGTAAATGCTTGCTTTGCAGCATAAGAAAGAACCAGAAAAAAAGAAAGGAATGAAAGAATTAAGAAGAGGAAAAATTTCTCCACACGTGGAAGCAGAAGTGGAAACGAAAAAAGAAAGAATAAAAAGAGGAAAATTTTTCCCTCAATAAATTAAGAGAAAAAAAAAAGTTCTTTCTTGTTACTTCTTTTTATGCTGGATTGTGCGGATGGATGGAAATGTGAGTGTGGTTTTGAAGTTTTTGGTAATTGCGAAAGCATAAAATGTAATTTTGTAAGCTAGTTGCGAAAGATTGAAGGCGTTAAAGCTATTGGAATTGATCAGTTGTACTAATGCTCAGCTTAGGTCTGTCATGAGTTTAAATTATGTTTTATCACTGCTCATTTGCTGAAACGAAGCTCAGCTGGATTGACGCTAAGAGACAATAACACATATCATCAGCTGCACTGATGCTCAGCTATAGAAACGCTAAGCTGCAGCGATGTGACGCTAAGCTGCAGTGACGATAAGCTCCAGTGACGCTAAGATGAATTGACAATCAGCTGGAATGACTCTCAGCAGAAGTGGCGCAAATCTGAGGTGATTCTCAGCTAAAGAGACCCAAATCTTCTGTAAAGTTCAGCTATAGCAACGCGCAGCCGGGATAACATTCAGCTTAGACACAATCAGAATGGAAAAAAACTCATCTAGAATGTTGTTTAGCTATCGACGCTCAGCTAAAGTGCTGCATAGCTGTAGTAACGCTCAGTTGAATGTTTATTCTCATCAAGAGTGAAACCAATCTTGATAACGCTTATATTAAGTGTCATTCAGCTAGACTGATTGTCAGCCAGACTGATGCTCAGCAAAAAGTGACTTGTTTTAACTCAAGCTCAGCTACAGTAATGTTAAACCGTAATATTTATATAATTGAATTGGTAATCAATAAGAATAAAGCAAAAATCAGTGACGAAAGGCTTATCTATTCCTAATGACAACGTCATTGTTCAATCAAAAGGCAAACACGTATTGTGAGTCGCTCCCTCCTAAAACTAGTAAATTCAAGGATATTTACTCAAACGAAGGTACAGCTGGACAATTTAGTCTCTGAAATTCGCATAATTAATTCTAAAACGCAAGAAAACCAAGAAATAATCACCAAACATAATACTTTTCCTGCAAACAATCCACTTCAATTCATACAAAATTCTTACGTACAACGACGAATAAAGCAAAAAAAAAATTGAGAGAAACTGGTCCGTTGACACGAGAATCTACACTCAAAAAAATTGAGAGAAAAGCAAACGAGAGCGAACAGGAAAAAAATTGAGACAAGTTCACGAACACATTCCTACCCAACTGATGATGTCAAACGCACACACGAGGAGGGAACAAAAATTGTCTCACAAACACCAATGTCGAGAATAATTTTTATATTTCAAGGTCAACGGCCGTACCGACATGGGAAGTAGAATTTGAGATTTGAACGAAAAAAAAAATTTGTTTTGAGTTTTTTTGCTCAAATTTACCTAAATTTAAGTCCTCGTCAGACTTTTGTTGAATGACTGACGGTTTCTGATGGAAGACGGTCGTCGGCTGTTGATGGGAAATTTTAAATCCATTTTCATTAATTCCCAATTTTTTATTATAATCCACATGAATAATATGATGTTGTTGCTGTTGTTGTTGTTGCTGTTGCTGGAGTTGTGCAACTGATTGTATCTTTTGTGGACCACCGTGCGATTGTGTACATTCGGGCACTTGAATCATTTGGATTGGTCCACATTGCATTTGTGGTTGAGGACGTGAATCGACCTCAGCTGATGAGGAATCGGGGGACATTAGCATTTTTGTTGTTTTTTGAAGGAATTTTTAGGCTGTTTGGTTTTTTGTTGATTTATTTTTAAACTTTAGTTTTAGGTTTTTTGATGTTTTCACTGAATTTTTTGAATTTTTCGAATTTTTCGAATTTTTTGAATTTTTTGAAGATTTTAAATTTTTGAATTTTTCTCAAATTTAAAAAAAATGAATTCTTCTCGAGTTTTAACCTTCTTTGAATTTTAAACTCCTTTTGTGATTTTAAACCTTTGAGTATTTCCACAATTTTGTGCAAGTTCTTGTAAATTTTCAATTCCTTATTTTTACAATTTTGAGGTTAAGTTATGTGAATATATTAAAATTTTTTTGAGGTTATATTTCACTTTTTTGAATTTTTTGAGTTAATTTTTAAGTATTTCAATTTTTACTTTCAATAATCTAGCTAAATAGTATCCAGAAAGTCCTGAGTTTGGTGGTTAAATTGAAGAATTTTGGATGAATTTTAGATTTTTTTCACTTTTTGATATTTAAGGTAATTTCAGGAACTTGTTTCAACTTTTTTTATAAAATTATTGAATTTTTTGTTTTTTTAAACTTTTTTGATAATTTGTTTTAAAAGTTTTTTCAATTTTGGTTGCCTTTATTTTACAACTTTTTTGAATCTTTAATTTTTTTATTTTTTTGTAGATTTTCCAATCGTTTTTGTTAATTTTAATATATTTTTGAATAGTTAAGATTCAATTCTTTTGTGATTATTTAACTTTGCAAGTTTTTCTAACTTTATGTTGATTTTTTGTAATTTTAAATTTATTCTTTTAACTTTTTAAAATTTTAAAAAATTTTCTTCATTTTTTTATAATATTTCAATTTTTTGAATCTTTTAATTTCAATTTTGCTAAATTTAAGCTTCTTTGATTTTTTAAAAAAATATTTTTCAAACTTTTCAGCTGCATCAAGTTCACAATAATTCCATAGTGTCAAATTTTTATTATTTTTTTGAATTTTTATTTCAAAACTATTTTTTAATTTCCTCACAATCTATTTCCAACTTTTCTCTTCACAAAAGACAAATTTTTATTATTATTTCATTATAATTGTATTAATTCACATCACATTCAGTACAATTCCACTGATACTGAACAATATAAAAAAGGGGGAAAAGAAAAGAAATTAGAGGACAAGGTCGCAGGGACCTTCACCGGTTCTTATTTTATCCGTTTCACACTAAAATTATTATTATTATTATTTCTGTTCACAATACAGTCTCTCACGACATGCCGGGTGGGTGGCATAAAATATATAATTTTTGTGGGGTGGTCAAAAAATCCATGAAACAGGCACACGATATGCGGTAAGGATGAAAAGTACACTTTTGCCTCACACCCACGACATTACTCAATTATCATTATTTTTTTAAATATTATTTATTATTTTTTTTAAATTGATATTTCGACAAAATTAAAACTTTTTTATTTTATTTTGCAAATAATTGTTGTGTGTCTCTCTAAACAGAGCAATTGCGTCACGATATGAACTACAAATACGTCCACATGCAATGAAATCGAAAATCAAACTGAAACTTGAAAGTACTTTACAGCATATTGTGAATGGTTAAGAGTAAAAAAATATGAGAGAGCGGAACGTGCTTGAATGTGGAACAGACACAGACATTGAAAAACCCGGCAGTGGATACACTCGGCATCCTTGAGAGAGCTGCAAGTTGAAGGTCCTTTGCGGAAAAAAATTGAAATATAAGCTTTGGTGCCACGTGGGCCTCATTTTTTGCCAATAAGTTTTGAGGAAATTCTTTTTTTTTGCTGCTTGATGGAAAATTCTCTCAGTTTAGTTTGAAGAAAAAAATTGAGAATTATTGTGCGACCTTGAATTATTTCAGTGCACTCGAGTAGGAATTAAAATACTTTGTAGTAATTGGAATTTTTTTTTATTTTAAATCAAAAAAGTTTCATTTAGTGAAAAAATAAAATTTTAAGATTTTTTATTGTCTGTGAATTTTTAATGCTTCCGCAGTGTCAATTGTAATCTGAGAATCAGTTGGAGTTAATAATTCAACAATTTACAAAGGACGAAAGTTGCGTGGAATTTTTAATAATTTTTTGAAACATTTGTTGATTGAATTTTGAAGGTTTTGTGGAACATGGACTGATTTTTTATCACACTGACCTAGAACTTGAGTAGTTTTTAGAATTGATTTATTTTATAGTTTATTGCTTTTTTGTCAGATTTTATTATTTTAACAATTGTTTTAAATTTTTATCATATTCACACAAAATTTTCAATTTTTGTGAATATATTTTTATTTTAAATTCTTTACTTTTGTTTTATTTTCAATCTTATTTAATTTTTTTTGTTTTAATTTTTTATTTTAATTTTTTAAATTTTTTAAAATTTAAAGAATTAATTTTAAATGTTTCTTATTGTTTTTATAAATCTTAGAAAATTGAATAGTTAATTTTTGAATTCTCAATAATTTAAAAAGAAATGTTTTTTTACATATTTTAAATTTTCTTCAACTCAGTGTTGGCCAATCTATGTGACGCGGCACACTAGTAAGCTACTGAGAATTCAAGAAGCACCGCAAACCGTATGCCATGTGCGATTTTGGTCATTGCATGCAACTAAGGTGTGTGTTGTTTCACAAAAAAGGTCCAACACTGCTTCAAGTTATTAATTTTTAATTCTTAATTTTAATAAAGTGAAATTTTCATAATTCGCAATCAAAAATTTAACAAAATCCCCAACTGACTGGAATTTCCTTTCCTCAATTCCCATTAAATGACCATAAAAGTTATCAAATTTCACTCGAAATCATTAAAAGAACCTTCAAATTTCAAGTACAAAACACACTTTTATCGGTCAAGGTTTTCAGTTATTTATCTTCAAACTTTTTTTTATCAAATCTACAAGCAGTAAAAATTATTGAGATAATAACAAATCAAGCAAAATAACCGAACAAATTTGTAAAATATTTCAAGCAAGTTCTTAAATTCTTGTTTGAGATATTTGAGCTCAACTAATGATGTGTTATAGCTGGCGATTTGTTTCGGATGTGATTTGCTGATTGGTTTCTATTTCCGATTGATTTTTGGTCGGCTTGCCAAGATTATAACTAAAACTTAGTTGCTTAATAGCCTAAAAAAGTGAAAATCTAACCTAAATCATCAAAATTTCCACCAACAACCCACAAAAATTCCACAATCTACGTCAAGATTCCTCAATTTTTGCTCAACGCTCAAGTTCAATTTTTCAATAAATTAAGTTTTGACAAGAGAGACAGCAGCAAAAAATGTTTTGTGCCTTTGATAAAAAAAAAATCATTTTTCCATCCTTCTCTGCCCTCACTAGCTTGTTTTTCGCACACAGTTGATTTTTTTTTTTTTTTGTTTATTTCGGCAATTCAGTAAAAGAGAAAAAAAAAACTTTGTCCTTCAACTAAATTTAAAAATTGAGTCATACCGTAAGTGCTCTGGATTATGGAGATTATTTCATCGTTTGACGTAATTTGAATGTTTTTTATTGATCGGTGTATTTGAGAATGTTTTGGAGGAGAATAGAATATGAGAAATTTGAAGCTAGTGTGAAGACACCTGAACAAAATTTATTAAAGCTTGTGTGAAGACACCTGAACTTTGTGAAGCTAGTGTTAAGAAATCTGAACTTTTTGAAGCTAGTGTGAAGACACCTGAACTTTGTAAAGCTAGTAAAAAGACATATAAACCTTTTGAAGCTAGTGTGAAAACACCTGAACTTTTTGAAGCTAGTGTGAAGACACCTGAACTTTGTGAAGCTAGTAAAAAGACATATAAACCTTTTGAAGCTAGTGTGAAGACACCTGAACTTCGTGAAGCAAGTGCAATGAAATCTGAACCTTTTGAAGCTAGTGTGAAAACACCTGAACTTTTTGAAGCTAGTGTGAAGGAATCTGAACCTTTTGAAGCTAGTGTGAAGACACCTGAACATTTTGAAGCTAGTGTGAAGACGACTGAACCAAATTTATTAGAACTAGTGTGAAGACACCTGAACTTTTCGAAGCTAGTGTAAAGACGACTGAACTTTGTGAAGCTATTACATTCCCACTCACAGCACACCCACTGTACAATTCTCATTCAAGAAGTTCATCGAAACGACCGACATTGACCCATTAGCAGAAAAAATAGCCGAAAAAAATTTGCTTCGCACAAAATCATTCGCACAAATACATGCGAAAAAGTTCTTCTAAATTGCTCTGTATTTTTTTTCATTTCGTTTTCTTGAACGCCCAAAAAAAATGAAATTCGCACACATTAAAAACGCACACAACAGAACCAACAAGAGTTTGGGATGAGGAAGAAGTGAACATTGATGATGGCAAAAGGCACGCACAGCAATAATTCCTGGTTATGTTCGTGTGTTTTTTTGGCAAAGAGGCCACAAAAAATCCACCCACCATTGAGAGAGTCGATGGTGGTATGGGATGCTGTAACTGAGAATGGCACAACATCTTTGGTACAAATAGAAAAGAAATCAGCATTTTGAGAAATTCTTTCTTCGAAGGCGAAGAGAGTACGATGAGAAAATTCAAGGTCAGTTCATTGACTCCGGAGTTTGTTTTCGCTTCAAGTGTTTTTTTTTCTATCGCTCTGCTTTTACAAATCATCACTAACACCATCGTAGAGTTTGAAATTTCCTACATCAGCAGGGGCAACAACAACAAGAACAACGAGAAATGCTAATAATAACAAAGTTGAAACTGATATTGAATAATTTTTTTTCTCATTTTTTTTTTACTTCAAATATGACTAAGACACATACAATTGCAGTCAGTAAAGTCATCAGCCAATGTGGAAATGAGAAGAGGAAAAAAATTGTTATTGTTGATGAAGAAAGAAATAAAAATTTCCCGTTTCTTTTTCATTTTAAGACTTCTTTTTGCAAAAAAAAAGATTGTTTTCTTTGCTAATGTTCTATGAAGTTGATGATTTTTATTAGCTTCTTGCTTAATTGCGATTTTATTTCATTGCGTAAAGGGGTTTGGGAGGTGTTGTAGGTTTGCTTTGAGTAAATTGATGTAGTGTGAAGGCACCTGAACTTTAAAATCATAGTGCGAACACACTTGAACCACAAAACTCTATAGTGAAGGAACCCGAACCACAAACCTCTAGTGTGAAGGCACCTGAACCACAAAACTCTAGTGTGAAGGTACTTAAGCCACAAAACTCTACTGTGAAGGCATCTGAAGCTCAAAACTCTAGTGTGAAGGCACCTGAACCACAAAACTCTAGTGTAAACACACTTGAACCAAAAAACTCTAGTGTGAGGGCATCTGAACCACATAACTCTAGTGTGAAGGCACTTGAACCACTAAACCTTGACGTAAAGGCACCTGAACCACATAAATCTAGTGTGAAAGCAACTGAATCTCAAAACTTTATTGTGAAGGCCCCTGAATCTCTAAATCCTAGTGTAAATGCACCTGAACCTAAGACACCCGTGTGAAGGAAACCTTAACTTTTCGACTCAAGTGTGCATGACCCTGAATCTCAATGCTTGAGTGTGAAGACACCAAAACGTCAAAAACCTAGTGTGAAGACACCTTAACCTCAAAAGTATTTCTTAATCAAAAAAAGTAGCTAAAAATTATCAGATTGAACTTTTATTGCCGGAAAAACTACGCACTTAAACTCTTATCTTAAAGTGTGAACCGATTATCGATAAACGTGATTTGCAGGAATTAAATTCACGCATTTTTGAGTTTACTGACGTCAAATTTCCCTTTAAAAAATTGCAAAAAAGTTTAAAAAGTTCAACATTTTTAAATTTTTTTACTAAATGATCATGTGAAGCCCCATGTCTCATTACCTCAACACGCAATTATTTCGAGCAAAAATAAAATCCGAAATAAACAACACAAAAGAAAGCAAAAAGCTGCAAATTAATCAGCAACAACAACAAATTAGACAGTAAAAAGAAATTGAATGGAATGAAGGAAAAAACAATCAAGAATAAAAAAAGATTAAATAAGAAGAAAAGATTTCGCGAATAAGAAGAATGAAAAAAAAAATATTATTTTAAAAAACAGCGAAGAAAACTTCAAAAGAGAAAATAGAAAAAGAATAAACTGACAGCTAACACAAGCAATTGGCAAAGAAAAGAGATTTTATTCATGCTTTATGAAAATATTGTTGTAAATACTTTGTTGAAATGGAAAATGGTGGAATCGGGAGATTGTGAGGTAAAAGATTTGTATGCTTGCTAACTATTATGTAAGAAAGTAGATATTAGAATTGATAAAAATACACAAGATTAGTATTTGATATTAAAATAAGATTTGGAGCTATGCAAATTGTACTAGATTGTTGAGGAATTTTACTTGATTTCTATGAAAATTGTACTAGATTGTTGAGGAATTTTACTCGATTTCTGTTAAATTGGACTAGACCTTTGATGAATTCGACTAGATTTATGACAAAATTTCCTAAATGTTAAAAAATTTGTACTAGATTTCTGTACAATTGTACTAAATTGATGACAAATCGTCTTGATGTACTAGATTTTTCACAAGTTTGACGAGGTTTTTGTCAATTTATACTAGATTCTTCGCAAATTGGACTAGATTTTCATGAAACAGACTACATTATTCAAAAACTGTATTAGATTGTTGGAAAATTGGTCTAGACTTTTGATGAATTGTACTAGATTGTTGACAAATTTTACTAGATTATTACTAAATTGGACTAGATTTTTATTTAAAAAATTAGAATTTTCTAAAATTGTATTAAATTGTTGGAAAATTGGACTTGACTGTTGATGAATTGTACTAGATTGTTGACAAATTGTACTAGATTCTTAACAAATTGTAATAAATGTTTGTCATAAAATGCACCCGAATTGATAGGTTGCACATTTGTTGCGAAAAATCAAAACCATCTAATTCCATAATCCCGATAGTTCACACAACCTCCAAAAACAATATTAACATTACGTTTAATCAAATACAACGACTCTCTTTAAAATTATGAGACAAAACAAGTATAGTTTTTGTCATCATGAATAAAAAAATATGCGGTAAATATTTACACATTTGTAACACAAATAATTTCATATTTTTCACCACAACAAAACAAGAATTAAGAGCTAAGCGGAGAACAGTAGCTGAAATAATACATAATAAAATGTCTCACAAACACTGAAATACGAGGATCGATAACAATCATTACGGTGACGATAACGAGTGTGTCATAAAATGTTGTAAAAAATATACAGGAAAAGGCACTTTTTGAAGGTCAATTGTAATAATTATTGAATGGCTATAAAACCTATTAATATTCTTTTTAAGGGGTTTTGTGGATAACAAAAGGGATTTATGGACTGCAGTAATTATTCTAGCTTCGTGTGGTGCAAATCGAATTTATTGCAATTTCAAGTGTCACATTTGTTCTTTAATATTTAACTTTTTCAAAACATAACCTCGAAAAAATTTCACAATTTGCAAATTTCTTGCCTCAATCATAACTTTTTCCATCCATCCCAGCATTTTCAAGTTCTTTATACATTTTCGGTGTCATTGAAATCATTTGGCCATGACTTTCTGTGCTCAGAACATGAGAAGAGAAGAATGTGGAAAAAATATACAGAAAAATGTGTGGAAAGAAGTAGGAAAGAAAGCAGCAGAAATGATGATGAAGATGGGGAAAGAAGGAGAAGAAACGTTACAAAATGTACAACATTATGGCATAGTCATTGACATTGGTCGTGCTTTTCTGCTCTGCTTGTGCCTTTTGTGAAGGTTTATGAGGGAGAATTATTTTTTTGCACATACAATGTTGGTTGGAATTTATGGGACTTTGTATATGGTGTTGGATGTAATTATGGCAATGTAAAGATTTGAAAAAATTCGAGATTAGAATTGTCATTTTAAAAGTTGAATTACAACCTTGTTCAAAAATCTAATCCAATTTAGTAAAAAATCTAGTCCAACTCAGAGACAATCAAGTCCAATTTGGAGACAATCTAGTCCAATTTGGTGAAAAATCTAGTTAAGTTTTTAGGGAATCGAGTCCAATTTAGTATAAAATCTAGTCCAATTTAGTAAAAATCAAGTCCAATTTGATGGCAATTTAGTCTAATTTAATGAGAATCTAGTCCAGTTTGGTGGAAAATCTAGTTCAGTTTTCAGTCAATCTATTCCAATTTAGTAAAAATCTAGTCCAACTTGATAAGAATCTAATTCAACTTAGAGAATAATCTAGTCCAATTAAGAGACAATCTAGTCCACTTTGGTGAAAATGTGGCCCGGCATAATGAATAGAATCTAGTCCAATTTAGTAAAGATCTAGTCCATCTTAAGTTTTGAAGCTTCTGTCAAGATAGTTCATCCAACTATCCAAATCAATCCACAATTTCATCAAAAGCATCTCCAATTTCCCCACCCATCCATCAACTTGATCAATTTCCTCATTCATTTCTCTAGAATTTCTCCATCCTTACCCAATTCATCACAATTTCCTTGTCTCCAATCTCCATCATCATCAGGCAACAAATTGTCGTTAGTTCCTTACACATCTTCAAGCATATCCATCACATCATGATACTTTCAGTATTAAAAGAACAAAGCAAAGACAAATGAGAGACAAAATAGCAAATAAGGAAAGAACAGTCATTATGGCAACGCAGTTGGACATTTTTACAATGTTTATCACTGACCGATAATATCCTTTGTCCTTGAAGTCATGTTTTTGCGATTATCTACGGTTGTTATGAGGCATTCTTGGTGTTTTGTCACGGGCGTAAGGTCTTTTTTGGGGTAATTGCTTTTGTTATGGTGTTTTTGAATGAGATAATCGGTTCTCTGCGGTGTGTTTTACGGAATATTTTAAGGAACTTTGCAGTGTTTTTGACAATTGCTTCAAAATTAGACATAACTTTTCGGGATATTAGCCTTAAAAATGAAGCACAAAATACAAAAAATCTCTCAATTTTACCATCAGAACAGCACAAAAGCTACACGATCCACACAAACACATTCACCATCTCCATTTTATCCTCAATAACCTCAACCTTGAACCCCAAATAAGCAGAACAAATAACAACGGCAGTATCAATGTCAATAAATAATCCAGCCACCTCTCACATCCCCCCTGTCATTTATCCATTCTTTCAATTTTTCCATCCTCCCAAAAAAAAGTGATAAGGCAGAAAATTTATTTTCGAGAACA